GGGAGTTGTAGTCCCGGCGTGGGGGAGGCCTCGCCTTCCCGGCGTGCCCCGCGGCGTCCGGCGGACATGGCGGCGACGCGCCGGCGCTGAGGCTCGGGCCTGCGGGCGGCGGCGGTGAGCGCGGGCTGGGACGGGGGGGTCGGGAGGCACCAGGCGCCCGAGGCCGCTGGACTCTCCCGCGGGAAGGCCCCGGGGATCCCCGAGAGGCCGCAAGATCCCGCTTCCGCGTCACCGGCCTGCGCCCCGGCACCGAGTGCCCAGGGCAGGCCCTGGATCCCCGGTCCTGCGGTCCCCCAGCCCTACCCGCTCCTTCCCCGAGTCTCCACAGACCCCCGCCGTCCTCCTCGGCTTCCAGGGTCCTTCTGCACGTCTCCCCGGATCCCCCGGCCCTTCCTGCTGCCTCCCCGGGTCCCCCTGTGCCCTCCCGGTGTCCCTCAGCTCTCTCTGCTCCCTCTCCGGCACTCAGCATCCCCCCCGCGCCCCTCCTGGGGTCCCCTAGGCCTCCCAGGCTCTTCTGGGCCTCCCCGCTCCCTCCTCTTGTCTTCCTCGCATCCCTGGCTCTGCCTGACCCTTTCCTCCGCAGATGGCTGGAGAACTGGCAGACAAGAAGGACCGGGACACATCCCCTGCCAAGGAGGAGAGGAAGCGTTCCCGCTCCCCCGACAGGGACCGGGATCGGGACCGGGACCGCAAGGCTTCCCCCTCCAAGGACAGGAAGCGGCACCGGTCCCGGGACAGGAGACGAGGCAGCCGGTCGCGGTCCCGCTCCCGGTCCAAGTCAACAGAGAGGTGAGGGGTGTCACAGGGGGTGCGCTGGCTTTTTAGGGAAGAACTCTCTCTCCTGTGGTGTGTCCATAACGGCCCCGAGAAGGGGTGGGTGCAGGTGGCTGGGAGAGGGCTGTGCCATGACTGTCCCACTCCACAGGGACCGCCGGCACAAAGAGCGGGACCGGGACCGGAACAAGAAGGACCGAGACCGGGAGAAGGATGGGCACCGGCGGGACAAGGACAGAAAACGATCGAGGTGAGCCCTCTCTCTTTTTGGGGTGTCTGTCCTCTCCCCTAAGCACCCCAGGGCTGTTACCTGGAAGAAATGTTGTCCTGGGAAGGAGTGGGATTCTCCCAGTCAGGGACAAGGCTGTGTTCAGTGCCTGATTCCTCTTTTATTTTGCTGGAAAGCTTGTCGCCGAGCAGGGGGAAGGACTCAAAGTCCCGGAAGGAGCGGGACTCGCGGAAAGCAGAGGAGGAGGAGGAGAATGCCCTGAAGAAGGAGAAGGTGGGGATGAGACAGAGGGGGCTTGGCTGGGAATGGCTCCCTGGGGGGACGTCCCCACTGGGGGCTGCTGACAGTCCCTCCCTGTGTTCACAGGCCCAGCCCCTGTCCTTGGAGGAGCTGCTGGCTAAGAAGAAGGCTGAAGAAGAGGCAGAAGCCAAGGTAGGAACAGACACCTTCTCCCTGTATTGGAGCTCGCCCATACCGTGCCCGCGGTGGCTGTGACAAGATAGATGTTTGAGGGGGAGGGGTCCTTTCCTGGGGCAGCCCCCGGAGTGAGGGGTTTGCAGCTGGGCCTGGTGTGAGCTTTGCCCTCTCCTGTCCCAGCCCAAGTTCCTGTCCAAGGCGGAGCGGGAGGCCGAGGCCTTGCGACGGCGGCAGCAGGAGGTAGAGGAGCGGCAGCGGCTGCTGGAGGAGGAGAGGAAGAAGAGGAAGCAGTTCCAGGAGATGGGGAGGAAGATGCTAGGTAAGATGGCATCCCCACTGCGATCTGCCTGGCTACAAGGGGCTGGGGCAGGACCCCCCGGAGCCCCCCCAGCCCTATGAGCAGGTGCTGGGCTCTGAGATCCTTCCCCTGCTCCCCAGAAGACCCCCAGGAGCGTGAGCGCAGGGAGCGCCGGGAGCGCATGGAGCGGGAGACCAACGGCACGGAAGATGAGGAGGGCAGGCAGAAGATCAGGGAGGAGAAAGACAAGAGCAAAGAGCTCCACGCCATCAAGGTAGCGCTCGGGGCTGGGCTGGGGGGGCCAGGAGACCTGGGTTCCCTCCCCACTGATCCTCTGGTGCCTGCAGGAGCGTTACCTGGGAGGAGTGAAGAAGCGGAGACGCACGCGGCACCTGAACGACCGCAAGTTTGTCTTTGAGTGGGACGCGTCAGAAGACACATCCATTGATTACAACCCCCTGTGAGTAGCGGGGTGGCCCTGGGGCTACCCACGGGGGTGCAGGGCAGCCCCAGCTCTGCCCCTGACACTCCCATCCCACTCCAGGTACAAGGAGAGGCACCAAGTGCAGCTGCTGGGCCGGGGCTTCATCGCAGGGATTGACTTGAAGCAACAGAAACGGGAACAGTCACGTTTCTACGGGGACCTGATGGAGAAGAGGCGGACGCTGGAGGAGAAGGAGCAGGAGGAGTGAGTGCACTTTGGGGGAGCTGGGAGGGTGCCAAGAGGTGACATGGGTCCTGGCTGGCTCTGCTTGGCCGGGATGTGGAGCTGGGGGGGTGGCTCTGGGCTGCAGCACGTCCCTCAGATGGGTGGTGGGATGATTCCAGCCTCCCCAGAGGCACAGGGTGAACCCTGTCGATATGGTGTAGGGGAGGACTTTGTAGAGTAGGGTAGATGGTTGGACTCGATGATCCCAAGGGTCTCTTCCAACCTCAATGATTCTATGATTCTATGATTCCTCACTCCCACCCCAGGGCTCGGCTGCGGAAGCTGCGCAAGAAGGAGGCCAAGCAGCGCTGGGATGACCGGCACTGGTCCCAGAAGAAGCTGGACGAGATGACGGACAGAGACTGGCGTATTTTCCGCGAGGACTACAGCATCACCACCAAGGGGGGCAAGATTCCCAACCCCATCCGCTCCTGGAAAGACTCCTCCCTGCCCCCCCACATCCTGGAGGTCATTGACAAGTGTGGCTACAAGGTGGGCATAGGTTGCCAGCAGACCCCGACAGCTCTTGGGGGAGCTGGGTCAAGGAAAAGAGGGCTGGTTCTTGGGGTCAGGTGTCTGACTGGGGGGAGTGAGGAGAAGTTCTGCTTCTAACTCTGCCGCTCCCCTCGCCAGGAGCCCACCCCCATCCAGCGCCAGGCCATCCCCATTGGCCTGCAGAACCGCGACATCATCGGCGTGGCTGAGACCGGCAGCGGCAAGACGGCGGCTTTCCTCATCCCGCTGCTGGTGTGGATCACCACCCTGCCCAAGATCGATCGGTAGGTGGGACGGGGCAGGGCCGCGGGGCAACGCTTAGGGATGGCAGGGAGTGTGGAGGCACTGTGGGTGACATGGCCATGCCCTGCCACGCCGCAGGATTGAGGAATCGGACCAGGGTCCCTACGCCATCATCCTGGCCCCCACCCGAGAGCTGGCCCAGCAGATTGAGGAGGAAACCATCAAGTTTGGGAAGCCTCTGGGCATCCGCACAGTGGCCGTGATTGGAGGCATCTCCCGTGAGGACCAAGGCTTCCGCCTTCGCATGGGCTGCGAGGTGAGTGTTAGACCCTGGGGAGGGCTGGGGGGGGACCGGTTTAGCCCCAGGCCGTGGGAGGACCATTTTAGCCCCAGGCTGTGGACACCAACCCTCCTGCTCCACCCCCTGCAGATTGTCATTGCAACACCAGGGCGTCTCATCGATGTGTTGGAGAACCGGTACCTGGTGTTGAGCCGCTGCACCTACGTGGTGCTGGACGAGGCGGATCGGATGATTGACATGGGCTTTGAGCCCGACGTGCAGAAGATCCTGGAGCACATGCCCGTCACCAACCAAAAACCCGACACTGACGAGGCTGAGGACCCTGAGAAGATGTTGGCCAACTTTGAGTCGGGGAAACACAAGTACAGACAGGTGGGTGGAGGCAGGAGGCCCAGGACAGTGTTGTGGGTGCCCCCCACCTAGGGCTTTGGAGAATGGGCCAAGGGAGTGGCAGCCACGTTTCTGCCCCACGGGAGATGTCTCTTACTGCCCCATTCTCTCGTAGACTGTCATGTTCACAGCCACCATGCCACCAGCGGTGGAGCGCCTGGCCCGCAGCTACCTCCGTCGTCCGGCTGTGGTCTACATTGGCTCTGCTGGCAAACCCCATGAGCGGGTGGAGCAGAAGGTCTTCCTCATGTCAGAGTCGGAGAAGAGGTGTGGAGGGGGCCGCTGGGGCTGGGTGGAGTGGGAAGGACGGGTCTTGGAGCTTGTCTGGGGCATTTGAGGGTGAAGGAGCTTTGGGAGGGGGACTCTGGAGAACAGAGGGGCTTCTGCAGGGCACTTCAGCCTCTCCTTGCCCAACTCTCCGTCTCCCCAACAGGAAGAAGCTGTTGGCCATCCTGGAACAGGGCTTCGACCCACCCATCATTATCTTCGTCAACCAGAAGAAGGGCTGTGACGTGTTGGCCAAGTCTCTGGAGAAGATGGGGGTGAGTCTAGACTGAGCCGGAGCCCCCCAGCTTTGGCTGTGGCGGGTGGGGGGTTGTCCCCATGTGAGGACCCCATGACATGGCTCCAGTCCCCCGCTGACCCCTGCCCTGTCCCACAGTACAACGCCTGCACCCTGCATGGCGGCAAAGGCCAGGAGCAGCGAGAGTTCGCCCTCTCCAACCTGAAGGCCGGGGCCAAGGACATCCTGGTGGCCACGGATGTGGCCGGCCGTGGTATCGACATCCACGACGTCTCCATGGTCGTCAACTATGACATGGCCAAGAACATCGAGGGTGAGTTGGGGCCGACTTGGGGGGCTGTGGGGGGCAGCAGGGGCTGCCTGGCCCCCATAACGAGGCCCTGCCTGACCCCCCTGCCCCCCCGCAGATTACATCCACCGCATCGGGCGGACGGGCCGAGCAGGGAAGAGTGGCGTTGCCATCACCTTCCTCACCAAGGAGGACTCCACCGTCTTCTACGACCTGAAGCAGGCCATCCTGGAGAGCCCGGTGTCCTCCTGCCCGCCCGAGCTGGCCAACCACCCCGATGCCCAGCACAAGCCTGGCACCATCCTCACCAAGAAGCGGCGGGAGGAAACCATCTTCGCCTGAGTCCCCAGGGCTGGTATCCCCCCCTCGGTCACTCCTTCGGGGACGATGGGACCAGCAGGGCCAGGACTTTTCTGGCCACTCTTTTCCCAGACCCCCAGGCCCCTGCGCAGCCGGGACTGCCCACCACAGCACATGGGGCCAGGACTGTCCCAAAACGTCCCCCCTGATCTCCCAGTCCCCCTCCCCGCCTTCCCTAGGGATTGATGGAGCTGCTGGAGGCTGTTTAGGGTTGGTCCCTGCCCGTGGGCTGCCAGGGCCAGGGCGGTGCTGGGATGGGGCTGGTTTTCAGGCAGGGCTGTCCCAGGAGCCGCCTTCGCTTTTCCCTTTTCTAGTTGAAACTCCAGGCTGCAGGAATAAACCCGCAGCTGTTGTCGGACGCCACCTCCTCGTGTTCTCCCTTCTTGCAGCGCCACCAGCCCATGGGGGCCATCTCCTTGCACCCCCCCCAGCGCTGCCAGAGGTGCTGGGAGCCAGCAGGACCCCCAAGGGGAGACCCAGGGGGGTGCTGAGCAGACACCAGCACTGGGCCCGTCCCCCATTGTCCCAGCCAAACATTGCCACAGTGTCCCCTGTCCGTCCCCCCAGCCCAGAGACACAGACAGCGGCACCTCCGAGCACTCTTGTGTTTCTGAAACGGGTTACAGGGAAATCAGTGCTTTCTACAAAAGAAATTATAACAAATCTGTGGCTCCCACCTGTCGCCCCCCCCACCACCAGCTTGGAGGGGGGGCTCGGCCCAGCACCGGGACCCTCCACCGAGCAGCCCCCGGTGAAGGGCGGTGGGCACCGTATTTACAGGACTGTGTGGTGACGTGCGGTGACAGCTACGCGAGGAGGAGGAGGAGGAGGGCGGGGGACACAGGGCAGTGAGTGCAGGCATGGAGCGGCCCCCCTCTCCGTGTGGGGTCCAGCCACCCCTCTTTATCCCCCATCCTGGGGGGGTTTGGCAGTGGTGACCAGGGCAGGGAGAAATCGGTGCAAAGCGAAGCAAGTGGTGCAGCCCCCTCCTCCTGGGGGGGTCCCATGCAGGGGCAGGGGAGGGGGCAGTCCAAGCCCTGGCAGGGGGAGAGTGGGCACCTTCCCCTTCTTTCTTGGGTCTGCGTGGGATGGGGGGCACTGCTAGAACTGTCCCCACCCCCTCATTACCTGGCCCACAGGTCTTTTGGGGGGGTGGGGGTAGGGGGGGGAGGCACCTTCTGTTTATGGCAGCAGCCCTGCCGGGGAATGAGAGGGCTTGTGATGCAGAGGCCAGGCGGGGAAACTGAGGCAGGGACAAGGCATGTGACTGTCCCCGGGAGCTGGGGGAGGGGGTCTTGGGGCATCCTGGCCCAACAGTGCCCCCCTCCCCCTCGCCCTGTGCTTATGGCTGAAGAGGTGCCCGGGGGCCAGGCGCAAGGAAGCTGCCGGTGTGGAGGAGATCCCCGAGAAAGGGAGATTGTCTGAGCACCCCCAGCGCGGGGCTGGGGCGGAGCAGGGAGTGGGGAGACGGTTCCCAGCCGTGCCCCCCACCCCCCAACTCCCTCCCCACCCCTAATAGCTGTCCTTGGCCCAGGGCCGGCTGCGCTGCCAGTTCCTGTCCTGGTTGCGCTCGGTTTGGCGATCCGGCGTGCCGGGCCCCTGCAGCCCGCTGTTGTGGTGCCGGTGGGGCTGGTAGAGGTCGGGGTAGGGGTCTGCATACTCCTCTTCCTCCAGGTGCCGGGAGCTGCGCTGGGACGCAGCCCCCCAGGGCTGGGGGGAGGTCTCCCCCGCCTCGTCTGACGGCATCAGGCTGTCGTGCTCCAGCGGAGAGTGCTCCCCCCGCTCCCCCAGCAGCTGCTGGCTCTGGGGGTAGGGACAGGGCTGTGGGGACAGCACGGGGGGGCTGCCACCACCCCACCATCCCCCAGTGCACCCCCTGTGCCGGCTGCCTGTGGGGAAGGGGAGTCTGGAGGTACCTGCAGGCCTGGGAGGCTGGTGGGTGAGGGGACGGCGTGGGGGGCGTGCGGGGGGTGGTGGGTGGCACGCCAGTACACCTCCAGGTACTCGGCCAGGTGCTCACAGGCGTCCTCCAGCTGGTTCTCATCCAGGATCACATCAAAGAGCTCCTGGGGGACGGGCAAGAGGGATCAGGGCGGTCCCTGATCACCCCCCACACCCCCCCCCAGCGTCACCGGGGCAGAGGGACCTGCCAGCTCACCGGGGGACACTGCACCAGCTTGTCGGCCGCCATCATCTGCACGTTTAGGTGCTTCACCTGGGACTTGCCACGGGATTTGATGAGCCGCTGCAGGACCTGAGGAGGGGAGAGGAGGGGTCACGGCATGGCGGGGGGCAGCCAGGACCTCCCCCCCCACCAGGAACCGCGGTCACCCCTCACCTTGGGGGAGGACACCTTGACGTAGACGATGATGGGTGCCAGAGAGGTCTTGGCCAGCTGGGCTGGGTGGTTGATGGTGTCGGCGTCCAGCACCACCAGCTGCAGGGACTTGGCCAGCTCGAAGATGCGCTCGATTTCGCTCTGCACCTCAGCTGCGGGGGAAGGGGGACACGGGGGGAACGAGTCAGGCCAGGCTGCCCTCGGGGAGAGTCCCTGCCCCCCCGGGCCGGGCCAGCCCCTCACCAATGCTGGAGCGGGTGGTGGAGCGCTCCAGGATGGCCTGCTTGCCCAGGTTGTTGAGGATGGAGCGCTTGGCCAGGGAGAGGTCAGCGGTGATGTGGGTGATGGAGATCCTGGGGGGCAGAGGGACAGCGGTGGGGACCCGGGTACCCCCCGTGGGCCGTGGGAAGGGGGTCCTGGGGAGGCCTTGAGGGTCTTACCTGCCGTCGAATCTGTGCTTGAGGAAGTCAAAGAGGGCTTTCTGCATCATGTCGGTGACCTGCCGGCAGGGCCACCAGCCTGGTGAGCCCACGGGGAGCCGGTGGCAGATGGCACCGGCAGGGAGGTGGCAGCCGCCCGGCGCCCTGCCAGCAGCCCGCGGCCCCGCCATCTGCCCACCACTGGCTCGGTGCAGGCAGGGAGGGGACAAGGGGCGCAGGCCACCACCCCTGGGGGTGCACCCCGTGCCCTGCAGCCCCCCCCCCGTACCTCATATCCTTTCAGCGAGGGCCCCACCAGCACCACAGGCCGCATGGAGGGGACCACGTCGTAGGGTGGGATGTGCTGTGTCTGGCGGGGGGGACATGGGGATGTGTCAGTGCCCTGTATTCCCACCCCCAGGAGTCAATGAGCCTATTCCAGAGAACCCCAGCATCCTGGACACCCCCCCCCAGCCCCATAACTGCTTCATCCCGCCTTGGCCCTGCCTGTAGCCCCCTCCCCATCTCCCCCTGCCCGTGGCACAGCCTGTGTCGCAGGGACTCACCTGCTTCTGCTTCTGCTTGGCTTGGGGAGAGAAGAGACAGAGGTTGGTGACAGTGAAGGGGGGACCCCTCTGAGACCCCCCCCAAGTCCCCTCTGGGTCAGAACCTGCCCTTACCTAAGGAGGGGGGAGGCGATCGCCGGTTCCCGCTGTCACCGAGGCCCGAGGCG